GCCTGCTGGTTGGTGGATGCTGAGGTGCGCGGCGCTCCCCTTTCTTCCGCGCCGTTGGCCCGCGTCTGTGTGTCTATATCTGTGTGTGTGTGTGTGTGTGTGTGTGTACTGCTGCACCCCCACAACGTCGCCCTCTCTGTGTCTCTCTTTTTCTCTTTGTTTTCGTGGGGCATTGGCTGGCAGTTGTTGCTGCTGTTGCAGTACAGCTACCGGAGCTTCAAGATAAAAGGGTGGGCAGGCGAGGATGAGCGTAACGGATAATGAGGTGCAGCAGGCGAAGTGTTTTGCCTCTGCAGTAGAGCATCTCAACCGTGCCATCTCGCGCGCGATGGTGGCGATGTTGGAGGTTGGCTCCGCCCTCGACTGCGTGACGGAAGCCTTCAAGAGCCCCGCGCTGTACTTTACTGAGCCGGAGATGGTACTGCGGATACGGGACGCACACAACGAGCTGCGCCACTTCCACGAGGGCACATCGTTCTCAACTTTCAACGGCGCCATCCATGAGGACGTGCTGCAGCCGCTCAAGTCACTGGCGCAGCAGGCAAAGGCGGTGCAGCGGGAGGGGCGGGGACGAAGTTTGTTTAGCAGCGTTTGGGGCCGTAGCAAGTTGTGCTCGCAGGGGGCCCAAACGGGGCGCGACGGGTATATAGGGCAGAATGGCACCATAACGGCTATTGGGCACGGCTACAAGAGGTTGCGTGAGCGATGCGGGAGCGAGTTGCCGCAGGTTCTTCAGTGTTACCTCTCCCATAGCGCACAGTTCACAGAGGACTTGATGATAGCGCTGCGGAACGCATCTCGGGTGGCGGAAGACGACTACCAAAGTATTCCTGCCCCGCCCACAATAGCTGCGTTCCGACCGCAGCAGCACATAGGCGAAGAGAACCCGCTGCTTCCGCGACGCACGTTGCCATCGGTGACCCGCATGGACAGGGATGAACCTCCATTGCCTCTCTACGCACCAACGGCGTATCAGTTCATTTTTTGATTAGTTCGGTGTAATTGCCACTCCTCCAGTGTTGACGTAGAGCACCTGACGTACATTTTTTTTCTTGCTGAACCCCCTTTTTTTTTNGGGGGGGGGGCTCATTTTTTTTTTTTTGCACATGGCAAATGGACCCTCTGTACTGAAAGGAGTCCGCATGAGCTGTTTCCCTCCTTCTGAAGGCGCATTTCCCAGATATCCCCGAGCGTTTCAGGGTTATTCAATGGCGAAGCATGAAACGTACAATTTGTGAGAGAGATGTAACGCTTTGTGGCTGTGGTGTGTGCTCAGCCCCCTTGGCTACCCTGGTAAACCAGCTCAAACACTTTGTTCCCTCTCTGCTGTATGGGAAGGCGGGTGGGTGATGCTGCGTAAATGAATACCCTGTTACCAACGGAAAGGGGGAGAATAAGACGTGTAATATGAAGAAGAAATGAGAGGTGTTCTTTCTTACTTTGTCTGTAATGATTGCATGAACTGCAGTGTCACACGCGCTTCGGCCGTGCCACCATGGTCCCTGCAGAAGCTTGGCCGGTGATGTGTGTTTGATTGGTGAGCGGTGTTGGCTGACACGAGTGCGTGAGGGAAGGAATGTGATAAAAGGCCGATTCCGTTGCGATTTTCTACACCGAGCTGTGCAATCCCTTGTAAGGTTGCTCCGGCAGGACCAGCCGTGGGCACACCGGCTCTCGTTGGGGTGTGTTGTGGCATGAGGAGACGGCGGTGTTTTATTCATTCAATGGGGTCGGTAATTGCGTTCTCTTTGTGCGAAGAGCCGCCGAGGTCTGATGGACCAGCCAGAAGTGTGTACGGCGGCCGCCAGGGTTTCGTCGTGGTGTTTTTGCGAATAGCGGTATTGCTTCTAGTTCCGTAGATGAGTCGCTTTTTTACTCTCGTCTCTTCCATTCCGAACTGCTGGCTGGTATAAAAAAAAAAAAAAACGAAGAGAGGAACGTGCAGCGACACATGACGTTCATTGCCGTGGTGGCGGCGCCCATAGAAAGATTGACGCCGTGCGTTGAGTATCTCTCTGTGTGCGCTTGGTTGTGCGTCTGTTTGTGTGTGTGTGTGTGAGTGTGTGTTTCACTTCCCAGCTGTCGTTTGGCCTGCTGCCGCCTTCACCTGCCCGCTCATGTCTTGTGCCGCACTTCGCCTCTCTCTCTTCCTTTCTTCTTGGCGTATGTGTGTGTGTGTGCAGCGAGGAGAATATGCAGCAGACAAGGGAGCCGCTGCCGGTGGCTGCCACCGCTGGGGATGAGGAGCGGCGCCGTAGAAGACGCCGGCGCCTCGCCCGAAAGTCGCCGGAGACGCGCCGACGCCGCCTGCAGTACGCGCGTCGCCACAACGAGAAGGACGGGCGGCTATTCTACTGCGACTACTGCGATCTCTTCGTGAGCAGAGCAGCGAAGAGTTGGTTGCAACATCTGGGCGGGGTGCGGCACATGGAAGCAATGGAAGCGTACTACGCCCTGGTGGACGCGCGCGACCCTGTGTGGCTCACCAGCATCCGTGAGGACGTCTTGCGTGCGCATATGGAGGAGCGTGTGCGGCAGCACCAAATTATTGCGGGCAAAGGCGCCACCGTCCCCCTCCCTGCCGTAACAATTGGCTTCTCGGGTCCAAACAGCATTGTCGTTGGAGGATCTGAGAAGCAGCAGCAGCGGCCACCGCACACCAGCACGTCTGTAGATGCGATGAACTGCATCGACGCCAACAACAATAGTAATGTTGGTGGTGGTAGTGGTGGGGTGAATGGCTCCCCGTCCGTGCGGGTGGGCGGCCTGCTTGTTGCTGCAGCCACACCGCCGGTGGTGAGGGTGGGCAGCAAAACTCTGGCCGCGCCGCCTGTTGCCAAGCCCGCATCGCTGTGAAGGGTCACCATACCCTCTTGGGTTATTGCAAGTGCAGTTGTACATTGTAGTTCCTTGGTCGCTCTGAAGAGATGGTGTGGCACGCGAGTAGTGCTCTTTCTTTCTTTTTGCTTCACTGTTGTTGTTGTCGTCGTTGTTTTGTTTTGGTCCCTTTTTAGTGTTATTGGTTCTCGTGTGTCTTTGGCGCGAGGAGGAAGACGGTCCGGAAGCCGTTTGTCGCTCCTTTGAACGAGGTGCGTGAGGAAACCAGCAGAAGCAAGAAATACAGGCAGAATATACCTACACACAGACAGGCGGTGTGCGGTGTGGGCCAATGAGCGCGGGCAGCACGGAGCGAAGGCAGCGCATCCGCGCGCAGCTGCGTGAGTTCTACGGCGACCCCGCCGCGGCTCGCGAGAAGCGGCCGGTGGAGGGCGGCAAGGCCGGTGTGCCGCCCGAGTTGGACCTCGACTCGGAGTTCTTCAACGTGAGTAAGTACATCACGGACCTCCTGCGCCGCGAGAGCCTCAAGGGGCTTGTCGAGACGGACACACAGCTGCTACGCACCGTGCGACAGCTCGACGGGGAGCTGCAGGAGCTGGTGTACCGAAACTACGCCAAGTTCATCTCTGCCACCGACACGATCCGTGAAATGCGTGACAATGTCACCGAGATGGACGCCAAGCTGCAGGCGCTCTCGAGCAATGTGGATAACATCGACCAGGTGTCGAAGGGCATCAGTGAAAAGCTGCAGGCGCACTGCAGTCGCATTGAGGAAATGATCACCACCAACCGCATGCTGCGGAAGGTGCAGTTCCTCGTCGACCTCGCCGACACGATGCGGCGACTCATTGAGCGGCGCGAGTACGGCGCGTGTGCGAAGCACTGGATCATCGGCGACTCTTTCTTCGCCAAGCACGCACACCTCTCGAGCATTTCTAAGATCCACGACGAGTGCAGAGGGCTGGCGCGGCAGCTCTACAACCAGCTACAGGAGACGGTGTGCACCGCCTCCCTCGACGACCCCGAGGCGATGGACGTCATCCGCTGCGTCGTGGAGGACATGCGTCTCCTGCGCGCCACCTCTCTCTTCCCTGGCGAAGCAGAAGCAGGACAGAAGAGGAAAGATGGCGCGACGACTCTCTCGTCCTTCGAGGCAGACATCCTGAAAACGTTGATGAAGAACGTCAGCGCGAGCTTCACGGCGGGCATCCAAGGCGTAAACAGCGCAATTCGGTCCGCCCTCGCGGTGCCAAACTTTGCCGCGATGGAACGCGCACGCTGGGGAGATGCGCTGCAGCATGCCCATCTGCAGGAGGCGCTGGCACAGCTGAAGAGCATATGTGCCCTCTTTTACTCCAACAGCGAGCGTGTGTATAGCCTGTTTAAGCGCGAGAGCGATGCCACCGTCTCCCTGCGCATCGTAGAGGAAGTACAGCCGGTTCTCATTGAGGTCATGACACCTATCACTGTCCATATGAGCGAGCTACTGATCGCCGTCGTTGACGCCGTCGGAAATGACGGCGAGGGTGCAATGCAGACACCCGCCACGGTGAAGAATAGTATTGATGGGATTTTCACTGCCTTGGCAAAGCACCTAAAGTACTACGCTGGTACGCTGAAGACACTGGGCGTCAACTACCTCGACAACGCCCACAGTCAGCAGAGCCGGCAGTATGCGGCGCTGGTGGATCAATCCGTGTTGGATATCTTTCAGCGTTTGTTGACGGTGTTAGAGGCAAAAGTGACAGAGGGACCAAGCGAGCCCGTAACCATCATGTGCGGTGGTGCCGCGACGGAGGCAGTGTACCAGCAGCTGCTGCGATTTGCCATCACACGGTTTGTCTTTGGCAGCGCTGCCACTGCCGCTGACATGGTTGGAATCACCACCCTCATCAACACCGACACGCTAATGTCGGTGGATGCCGCTGGGACGCGGAAGCGCTGCAACAGCGTGGCGCGGGCTCTTGCGCATCGCGGCATTGTTCTCCTGGGGCAGTTGCACCTGAGATGGGTCACCGCGTCGTGGTGCCTGGTGGACGCGGTCGACCCAACATCCTCCGCGGCAGCCCAACACCACGGCGTTGCGCCGTGCCTGTGCGAACTCGTGCAGCAGCTCGGTGTCATCTACAGTGTGCTGCAGGGGGGCATCTTGGCCGGTGGAAGAAGTGGCGGTGCCCCTTCGAAGGAGGGGCGGAGCGTGGACAGCATACGTGGCGGCTCGATGCACTTTACAGGGGGCGGTAGTGGTCGTAGCAGTGGGCGCAGTGGACCGACGAAGTTGGCTGTGACCTTCACACGGCAGAGCGGAGATGCACTGCAGAGCAGCGTGGAACGCATTTTTTCAAAACAGTCTAACATCAACGCCTCGGTACGAACCCTTCCACGGGAAATTCGGTCCGCCACCGTGCTGGGCGCTGTGGTGGTGTATTTGCTCAAGGGTATTGTCGAGTACGTGCGGCAGCAGACCTACACACGCAACGGCTTCCAATGTATGCAAATCACTTGTACCTTTCTCCTCCACGTTCTCACGCCGCCACTAGCGTCGGCATCCTTCTCAGCGAGGGAGGAGACACCGGTGGCCTTACTGGAGGAATGGATGCATGATTGCAATGACGATAGTCTCTTGCGTATGGTGCCGCTCCTCCTCAATGAGTGTTGCACATGTGCGTATGAGCGTTGCCATGATAAAGTTCCGCTGACGGGAGTGGTGGTGGAGAAATTAGTCAAGTCTGCCATCAAGGCGATGAGGAACTCGACGCTGTCTTAATGAGGGGGAGTACTTGAGAGTGCCTGCGTGCGTGCGTCTGTGCGTGTGTGCATGAGGCAAGGTACCATGCATATCTGTCATTTTTGTTTTGTTTGTTGATTTTGCTTTTTTTTTTTCATTTCGGCTCCGTTGGTGTGGTGAATACTCTTTTGTTTTCGGTCCGCTTTATCCACATGGCTCTTTTTTCTTTCTTTCTCCCCCCCCCCCCNGAAAAAAAAACCCTTCGGTCTTCTCTTTTTCCCCACCTCCAACTGGTGGCATTGTGTACCGCCGTGAAGAAGGTATTCCAAGAGGTTTTCTGTCTGTGTGTGTGTGTGTCTTTTGGCGGGCACGTACAATTGGAGGATCTAGCTAAACGTAGTGAGACGCGGAAATGTTTCGTCGTACGCAGCAGCGCGCCATCTCGCAGTATAACTTTGGTCAGCCGTCGCTGGCGCATGCCTTCGGCCCCATTCCGCGCGAGCGCCAGGCCGTGAAGGCGGGGCAGGTAATATCCACAAAGCTCCCCAACGGCGTCCGCGTAGTCTCTCACGACCTCGACGGCGCCCACAGTGTTGTCGGCGTCTACGTGGACGCGGGCCCGAAGTACGACCCGCTCGCGTGTCCGGGACTGAGCCACGTTATGCGTTACGCCATCCAGACCTCCAACATGGACAACTCCCTCTTTCAGCTGGACCGTGCTATGCGGTCGACCGGCAACGCGTACGGGCACGGCGAGATCTGCAAGCGCTACCTCACATGGAAGGCGGAGGGGCGCCGCGACATGTGGGAGGGCCCCTTTGCGATGATCGCCACCGGTGTTGTTGCGCCGCGCTTCCATGAGAGCGATGTGGAGCGGTTTCGCGACACGATGGACAACCAGTACGAGGAGCTGCGGTGGCAGCATCCGCGCGAGTACTGCATCGATGCGCTCGAGACGGTGGCGTTCTTCAAAGAACCCCTCGGCTCCCCGCGCATGGTGCCGCCCGAGGCAAATGACCGCTGCAATCAGAAGGCTCTCGTCGAACACTGGGCGGCGCACTTCCACCCCGGCAATGTTACGGTGGCGGCGGTGAACGTCCCGCACGAGGCGCTGATTGCGGCGTACGAGTCGCTGCCGTACCCGCACTCAGGCGAGGCGCCACACCACGCCAAGTCGCGCCCGCCCGCCTTTTCACACGGGAGCGAAGCGGCGCAGTTCTACCCCGGTCGCCAGGAGGTGGCGTACGAGGAACGCGCCAAGGCCATGGGCACCAGCCCGGACATGGACGAAGAGATCGTCGCTGCTGTTGGGGTTCCGACACACGGCCGCGACGAGGACGTGCACAAGTACGCAGCGTCGCTTGTGGCGCGTGAGGTCTACCAGGCCTCCGTGGACCGCCTCACGCCGCCCGCTCTGGAGCCGCTGCATGGCGTGCGCACGTTCTACCGCCCGTATGCGTCGGCCGGGCTCATCGGTGTTACAATCCGCGGCGCACCAAAGGAGATTGCGGGTCTCCTAGATGCTGCGACGAAGTGCTACCCGACGACGGTGTCGGAGGACGCTGCGGCGGCAGGGCGAGCACGTGCTGCCATGGACTTCAGACGCAACCATTTAGAAATGGTGCGTGACTACTGTGACTTCCTCGCCACCTCAAACGCCACCCCGGCGCAGCTGATGGAAGCCATCGAGAAGGTCACNGCGAGCAAGGTGGAGGAGGTTTTGAATGCGGCGGGTGGGGTGCAGCCGGCAGTGTATGTCACCGGCGCTACCCACACCTTCCCAAAACTGGCCAGTCTCAAGAAGGTGAAGTAAGCGCGCGTTGGGTGTGTGGTTGCACATGTACAGGTTTGTGTTGAGCAATTTGGTGGTGGTGCGGAGGAACGGGCGATGGGTGGCGTTATGGGTGGAGGCAAAGTCCACAAGGGGGAAGTGAGTAAGTGTGAAGGTAGCAGAGGGTGAGAATGAAGATGCGAGTAGGCTGATGCTTACAAATGGAAGAGAGATTGAACGAAAAAAAAGTGTGGAGAGGGTAAACGGGGAGTGGGGGGTTAATGGGTGTAAATAGGAGAATGGCCACATTGTTGTGGTTACTGCCGTTGGCTTTTTAGTGTGTGCGGGCGACTGCTGACGGTGCCGTTTTTTTTTTTTTGGAACTGGGAAGAGAGTGGTAGGGAGAACTGTGCGGGCTGGCCCTGTAGCAAAGGCAAAAGAATGCGGCGGGACGGGAGCGTCCTCGGATTTGCAAATACGCGGAGTTGTCGCACTGATGGTAGCGTTGTGACAGTTGGGTGCTGATTGTCATAGTGAGTCCGCTTGTGTTATCAATTTGTTGTTGTTAATCCTTTTTTTGTGTGTGTTTTGTGCTGTGTTAATGTTGCAAGGGGTCTTTTTCCCAACAAAGAGAAAAGAAGGAAGGCCTCCAAGAAGGAACGAATTCGGGCCGTTACTTCCTGCGTCCAGAGGGGGGAGGGGGTCTGCACGAATGCTCGCGCAGTGTGCACTTGTGCGCAGCTGCCGGATGCGTCGCCGTCTCGCCCGCTGTGGCCTTGTGGCCTTGTGGGCGGCGCAACGCGGGTGCAGCTCGCCGGGGACCAGCAGCAGCAGGAAGAATGCGGTTGACAGTGAGGCACCGTTGTGTGAGGCGGTTGCGGCCGTGCCGCCAGACTCCCTTTTTGAACTAGAGGGGCTCCGTGAATACCGCGACCGTCACTTGCGGCCGCTGCTGGATGAGAAGCGCCGCCAGCTTCGGAGTGTGACAGCCGTAAAAGCGCAGTGTGAGGCGGCAGCGCGGTGGTACCCGGACTATTACGCCGCGGCGCTTTTCGTATTGCTGTCGGCGCAGGCCGCCACGCTTTTCTACTGGGTGTATTTCCTATTTGACTGGAATCTTGTGGAGCCGGTGACGTACCTGCTGGGGTACGGCGGTGTGTGGGTGGGCATCGCGTGCTACGGTGCGACGCGGCGGGAGTTCACGTACGACGCGTGCCGGGAGATGATCACGGCGTACCACCTCCGCCGGCTTTACTGCAGGCATCACGTGGACGTGGCGTTGTGGCAGCAGCTGGTAGCTGAGGTGGAGCTGCTAGAGACGCAGGTGCGTGGTTTGGAAGGCGTGTAAGTGTGCTGGGTTGCGGTCTATTCTCGTCCCTCGTTGTGTATATGTCTCAGTTGTATGTGTGCCTCTCTGCTTCAAGCGGGGCAAGCAGTGTCACTTGCCATTCACACATATATAAATATATATATATATATATATACATTGAAGAGATAATGACAGGTTGTTTCCTGCATTCACCTTCAATTGTCCCTTTGCATCTTTCTTTCCCTCATTCTCTCACTTATTGTTTCCCTGTCAATTGTGTAAATGCGCGAAGGATTCCATTAATAGTTGTCAGGCTAATGAACGCGGAAGAATATTGGCACATGAGGGCCTGTGAGGCAGAGAATGAGCATCGCGTGCTTCTGCAGGCACAGCGGGATGAGATCGAGCAGTTGCAGCGCCGCTGTAATGAACTTCTGCACGAACGAAGTATGATGAAGGCGGCGACAGCAGAGGACATCCGCCAGTTTTGTTTAGATTATCAACGAAAACAGTTGCAGCACCAGCGGCAACAGCAGCAGCAGCAGATTCAACAGCAGGCAATAGCACCAGTAGGATGTCGCCCATCGGCGTCCCCTTCGACCAGCTCAATTCCTGTCTCTGAGGTGCTACAATTCCTGCATCAGTACAGCGCAGGGATGGTGCCGATATCGGAGAACAGTGTGCGCAAGCGCCTACGCGAAACGGCGGGGGGCGGGCGGGCGGCCAACACGCCACAGCAGCGAAGCTTGCTCCGGTGCGTGATGGCGAGACAGCGGCTGCGCCTTCGAGAAGACGACGCAGAGGAGTTCCTGCAACAACAACAACAACAACAGCAGCAGCAACCTCAGTGTGCGGGCGGTGCCAGGTAAGACGGCACACAATCAGGTGCCCTATACTGCATGTGTAAACGCTACCGGTGTGTGGTGCAATGTGAGGGGAACCGCATTGCTTGCGCTCCTAATCGGATATGAGCAGCAGCAACAGCCGGGGTGGAGGGAGGGACGTGGTAGAAGAACATATATATATATCTGGAAAAGGCGAAGTCACCCGTTCAAACGGTTCCCCGATTTTTGGGGTGTTTTTTTTTGTTTGTTTGTTTGTCTGCTTCTTAGTTGTGATAAGTAAGAAAAATGATGCGGTGTCTGCCGTTGTCGCCCCCCCATCGCTATGCCCGCAAAGGCACGCACGCTTATGGTCCCCATATTCTCCTTGTATGTAATTGCCCCCATTTGTTTTTTTTTTTCGCTCTTTCTTTTCTTCTCTTCCTTTCCTTGCCTCACTCGTTGTCTGGATTCCTTGCTGCGAAAGGCCGGACGGCGCACACCCACACACACAGAGAGAGAGAGAGAGAAGACGCGAGGCAGAATGCCGGTGGGCGGCGCGTGGGAGGTGGTGGTCGACAAGGCGGCGCTGGAGGTGGCGAAGTATTTGGCGCAGACAGCAGCGCCGTTTGTCGCCGACGCCGCGGAGGGGCGGTGGATGTTGGCCCTCCTGGACCGCGGCGCCCTGCGTGACGTCGTGGTGGAGCGCAGCCTCAACGGCCTCTGCGGCATGGTTGGCTGCGCAGAGGCCATGCAGCAGCGGCAGGAGGAGGGCGACGACGACGACGACAGGGACAGAGCGTCTGACGGCGGCGCTGTTGAAAGCGACGACGAGGACGTCGCGGAAGCGTTCCGGCAGTGTGACAAGTACCGCAGGCGGCACGTCGTGCCGGGCGCCGCGCTGGGCGATCGCTTCTGCTCCCCCGCGTGCGCAGCGCAGTTTGCGGCGCTGCTGGAGGCGGTGCAGCCGTCACTCGTCTGTGAGCGTGCTGAGTTGCCGGCCGCCATTGGCGGCCTCTTCCCGAACATGCGGCTCGATGTGCTGCAGCGCCTCGCGGGGGCGGAGTCCACCGCAGTGGCGGACATCCAGGAACGCGATCCGCACGCACAATCACACGAGCAGCCGCAGCAGCAGCACGTATCTGTGGGCGAAGGCGCCGACGCTGTGGCGACGCAGGTGCGAGAAGTGCTGCAGGGGATTGTGCCGCTCGAGAATGTGCTGGAGCCCGCCACGCGCACAGACCTTCTCGTCGGCAGCAACAAAAGGAGGGAGCAGCGGACGCCGATGCCTCTTGCGGTGTATGATTGGCTCCTGACGATCTCAACGCCCAGGACAAAGAACCTCTTTGCGAAGCTGTGCTACAGAAGCTTCGGGGGAGGTGGCAACGGAGAGCTGCACGATGGCGATGCGTCGTCTGGGGAGGAGAGCGGCTTCTACGCTCAGTGCATGCTGCCCATCCGCGCATTGTGCCTGCAGAGAGGGCGGCGGCAGCAGGAGGGCGCGGAAGTCGTGGACGAGGACGACCCAACTGTGGATCCACTGTTGCAGCAGCAACGTCTCGCCCTCTTTGCCTCCTATGCCTTCTCCGCCGAAACCACTGGGATGCTCTCGCGGCTCCTGCTTTACGATTACGCGACGCTCGAGGAGGCGTGGGATGTGTGGCGGTCCGACGGGCTCCTCGAGAGCCTGCAGTTCCCCTTCGCGCTGCCTGGCTTCGTGACGGGCGGCGGGACGACACCGCCTGGCATCTTCCTGGCGCTCGTTCTTGCCGCGGCGACGGGCCTCAGCATGCCGGCCGCGTGGGAGGAGTGGCTGCGGGATAACGGCGCTGCTGTGGAGCTGCTGGCCGCACTCGGGGCGACTACAGACGACCTCGTTGCATGCGTGCGTGCGCTTGTGCTGGAGTGAGCGAGTGGGTGCGTAAGTGGGGTGGTGGAGAGAGGTGGTGTGTGTATCTTTTTTTAACGTCTGTGTTGGTCTCAGCTCCTGTTGCTGCTGCTGTTCATTCCCTCCTTTCCTCTGCGTACTCGTTCTGCACTTTGTTCCTCCCTCTCTCTCTCTCTCTATCTATCTATCTATCTATCTTGCAAGCACGTGTGCAGCACAAAGGCGTTACTGCGGCAGCGGTACCAACACAACGGCGAGCTCCCCCCCGAAGTAAACCCCAGCGAATACAAAGAGAGAAGGGAATCAAGCGAGGCGTGCCATGTTCCACAACAGCTACCAGTCTGGCTTCCTGTCCATCCTGTACAGCATCGGCTCGCGGCCGCTGCAGATCTGGGACACGCAGGTGCGCAACGGCCATGTGAAGCGCATCACCGACGAGGACATCCAGTCCTCCGTGCTGGAGGTGGTCGGCAGCAACGTGAGCACGTGCTACATCACCTGCCCTGCTGACCCCAAGAAGACGCTCGGCATCAAGCTGCCGTTTCTCGTCATGATCATCAAGAACCTCAAGCGGTACTTCTCCTTCGAGGTGACCATCCTCGACGACAAGGGCATCCGCCGCCGCTTCCGCGCCTCCAACTACCAGAGCACGACGCGGGTGAAGCCGTTCACCTGCACGATGCCGATGCGCCTCGACGAGGGGTGGAACCAGATCCAGTTCAACCTAGCGGATTTCACCCGGAGGGCGTACGGGACGAACTACTTGGAGACGCTGCGGGTGCAGCTGCACGCAAACTGCCGTGTCCGTCGGCTATACTTCAGCGACCGCCTCTACTCGGAGGAGGAGCTGCCGCCGGAGTTCAAGTTGTTCCTACCCATCTCTCAGCAGCAGCAACAACAGCAGCAGCAGCAGCAAGCGCAGTCGCAGCAGGCGCAACA